AATCATTCGCCGGTACCGTAGTACCCTTCAGGCGGTTACTACACGGGAAGAGTCGGACCCCTCCCTGCCCCCTACCTCGGACCCCTACTACGTGCCCCACCCCCGGCCCAGCTCACCTCTTAATAAGGCTGCACCCCTCGGGCCCTCCGGTTATGACCCCACCCCCCTTTGCTCTCGAATAGTATCTGCTCTAGACATAGGCTGTCAGCAACTCTGTGCGTTACTTCGTGGAACTCAGCCCTGACCCTCCGTGTGTTTTGCAGTTATAACATATTTCACGAATGAGCTTCAATAGATAAACCACTACATCATACCCTTGACGTTGGAAACCTACCACCCCAGATACTCTGTTGTTGGATACCACTATCAATCCTATGACCCTACCCTCCCCTTCCTCCTTCGTCAGTTCAGTTTACCAGAACAACCAGTTATGGTGGGCCGAAGGAGATCAACGCAATGGAGAGATGCAAAGCTGGCGGGAGGGAGGGAGAGGGAGAGAGTCGGAGGAGAGGAACTCGGAGCAAAGAGAGAGGTCAGGTGGCAGGGGAAAGACGAGAACAGAAAACCTATGATCGTGACAGCTTTCAGTTTCAAGGCGAATAACGTATGTTCCGTGATGTATTACAGTCGGGGTGGCGACTGATAGTTTGTTGAGCATTCCTGCCATATGCCTGGAAGCCATCCTGTTGATTTGCTTTCATCCTCTAATTCTTGATGAATGTTTGAAAGATCTCCGCACTCGCCTTTGCTGTTCGGCAAGGAGTCAACGTTAGTTTTGTTGGACTCTCGGTCACTTGCTTTAGCTCAAACTTCAAGTGTATATGTCGATGTTCTATGTTCAGTTTGTTCAGCATTTTTCTCTTTGTGTTCTCCCTCTGCTCATTTTGCACTTAACCGATGTTCGCAACTTCGTACGACACACCATGTTGTCTACCAACCATGACGACACTACATGCTGTCTACCAACCATGACTCTGCGATGGCATGCAGGGTCTCGACATGTTCTCTTCCAAGATCTGAGAGTCGCACCTAGCAATGAATGGTTTCACGAAACCAAAATATGCAGAAAGAGACGACAAACAGACAGGTAACGCGGACAGCAAGGAGTCGCAGGACCTGCCATTGTCGGCGGCACCTCCAAAAACTGTGGACAAGCTCTTGACAACACTGAGGAGTGCTGAGAGCTCGAAGAAGGTCGGGCAATGTCAAGGTTTCGCCACTTTCAAGCAGAAGGTCATCCGAGAGGGCAAGAAGAGTTCTCACATGCACCAGCTGAACGTGACTGCTTTCTACGATGGGAGCATCTTGCCGCTTAGGATGCAGCAGAAGGAAGGAGTACATTCACATTCCAGCAATACATCGATGCAGTCTCCCTTCGAAATGATCTTCGGATTCTTCTGCAGCAGGCAACAAGGATCCTTCGACGGTTTGGGCACCTTCGACGAGATCTCGAAAGCCAACGTCAGCATGAGCTTCTCGGAGCTGCTCAAGTTTGTGAGTATGATGTTTCCCCACCATCAATTCACCAGGGGAGAGTTGTCGTGGGTTATGAGCAGAGCAAAGGTCGAGCCCATTCCTCTCTCTGAGAGCAGCAAGGCAGACAAGAATGACTCTGACCTCAAAGCTGTGAGCTCATGTCGTGACCTGTTTCACCCGCTGACACTCCCTTGCAGTTGACCTACGCCGAATGGTTGAACTGCGTCCTGCGCCTTGCGCTCATCGCCTACGGCTCTCAAGACATGGAGCACGACAAGATCATCGAGCATGTCGCCAAGGACCTCATGCTGGACAACGTGGCGGCGCTGAAGAAACGCCTTGACAGGATCGCGCGAACTAACGCTGGGTTCGGGGCATGGAAGGATGAGAAGATGCCGATGGAGGAGGGCTCATTGCTGAGCCTCAACATGAAACGACCCAAGGCGCTAGCGGAGTACATGCCGGACAAGAACAAGATGACCATCCTCCTGGTCCCTCCTGTCGCTCTGACTGTGATGGGAACTGACTTGGTTGCAGGACAAGCTCATGCGGTCCGGCACCTCTGAGAAGAGCGTGAGATGGGTGCCGTTCGACGGTCCTTACATCTCGATGATCCTCCCCCAGTCGTCGAAGCCTTACAAGTTCAACATCATGATCCAGAACGCCTCGGGGCATCCCCGAGACATCGGCTTCAAGATTCAGAACCTTCCGTGTTTCGAGATGCAGTACAGGCCGTCCAGGGGCACTCAGATCGCGTCGGGGCTCCAGTGCATGTTCGAGATCCTGGCTCACCTCAACGAGCCCGGAGAGTTCAACGGAGAGGTCCTCTTCACCAGCGCCGATGAGACGCAACGACTGGCCGTCTGCCCAGTCTTCCTCAAGGTCCTCCACTCCTCGTCCTCAGCCGCGAAGCTCTGGCACCCCCTCCAGGAGGAGACGACTCCTTCAGCCGTCGCCTACGACACGTCCTCCGACTCCTTGAACGCCAAGGGCACTACTCTCAAGAAGGCAGCCAGCACGCCCTCCACCCAGTCGATCCCTCGCGATTGGACCCAGCACCGGATCCACGGCGGAAGCAAGGACGTGTTCATGCCGCTGACGGTGAGGGCAGGCTTCCGACATGGCCGAGCGACGCGACCAGTCTCAAGTCCTCCTGGAGGACGATCTTCTCCCTCCTACTCTCCTTGGAAGCCAACGCATAACGGCTCGGATCGGGATGAGCCCCCGCACTCAGCTCGAGTGAAGTTGTGCCTTGCAATCTAGATGCTTTGTGACGTGTAGCTTATGTAATGATGAATAACGATGAGATGATGTAATGAATAAATGAAGTAAGTGACTCTCATTCCTGGGCGTCGCATCTGATGAGGATGTTCATAAATTTACACGCAGTCGGTGGCAAACTATGTTCTGCTACATGTACACGCATATCATTTCAAACCGGCCCAGGGAACAAACTCAGAGTGAAGGCCGTAGGGAACGCTGGAAGGAAGAGGAACGCTCTGTTTCAAAGACAAGTCCTTGGCGTCAACGATGTTGAGGAAAGATCCATCCTCCTTCCTCTTGCCATCTTTCACCGTCGAGCTGATACAGAGCAGGTAACCATCGTCCTCGCTCTTCCCTCCGACCTTGTTCACGAAGGTGGGCTCGGACACGAGGTACTGATCCTCTGGCATCCACAAGGTGTTGAGAACTTCGCCGCTGTGCATGTCGAGCTTGGCGAGGCTCTTGAAGATCAGAGTCTCTCGGGGCGTTGAGTAATCTTTCACGGGCCCCCCGCACGCATAAGGCGCGATGGCGTACAGGAACTGGTTGACTTTGCCCGTGTAGGCTTGATTGATCATGGGAAACTCCAGGGGCAAGGTCGAGAGGTACCTGCAGAGAAGGTGAGGCAGCAGCAGCTCCTTCCCCGCTCCTTTCACCGCTCGGATACACACTTGCCCGTCTCCGGGTCGAGGACCCACTCGTAGAGACAAGCGACAGTGTAGTCGATGATGTAGGATTCAGCAGTCTCAGGGACCGAACGGAATGCGTAGAGCACCACCTTGCTGTTGTTGAGGTCAGTGAGGATGAGAGAGCTGTCGACAACAAGAGCTACCCATCCTCTCGCTCATACGAGTTGGCTGTATGCAGCACAACACAGGGCTTGACGTCGCACCAAATCACGTCATCTGCTCCACCATGACGAGGCATCAAGCCGATCCTGAGAGGTGTGAGAACCCATGAGGAGACGATGGTAGTCGACCTAGACACTCTGTTGGCGTCGTACTGGACGGGGAAACGATCCAAGATGGAGCGAAAGGGGTCGATGGTGAGAGGCAGGTCGAGGATGAGCGAGTACCTGCAGCCGGTGAGACCACGACGAGAGGAGGGGGAGGAGCAGACTTGGGCGTGATGGCAAGATCATGGATCATGACACCAGATGGCAGAGGGATCTGAGCTGTATGTGTGAGGCGACCTGCACTCTCATCTCACATCCCACATCCCTCCCCCTTGACAACCTTCTCACCCTGAGAGTCCCATACGTCGTGCCTCGCATGGGTAGAGACTCCGCTCACATAAGTGACGCTCATCATCTCTCCGGTGACGGGATCAATCCTGCAGGACGCTAACATCAGAGTCGGACGTGTCGGCCAGCAACTCTACTTGCTATGGGCTGCCAGGGCCCCTCCCGTTAGAGGCTCGAAGGGCACGCCTCCATCAAGGTTGCTCGCTCCCTCAACCGTCTCTATGGTGGCGTCCCGGGATACAGAGATGACGGAAGGCAGTCCCTGCTCCATCCGAGAAAGAATCCTTCCTGTCACCCCATCTGTCAACAACCCTCCTCCTACCGCACGGAAGGGGGGGACCTGCATGGAACGAGAGGGCAGTGTTGGCGGTGTCCTTCAACGGGTAGCCAGTCCGGATGAAGTTTGACATGAGTCCCTTCACAATGGGCCAGCCTCTTGGAGCACACATGATGCCTTCGAAAAGAACCTCCTGCTTCTCTTCCTCGATCTTGAACGCTCGCGTGCGTACCCACTTCCTCCCATAGAACACATAATCGGAACCCTTCCCTTGATCGCTGGGGGGTATTACCACACCATGGATCATGCCGTCACCATCGAAGAAGCCGGGAACAGGATCGCCAGGTCTCGGGTTGGGTCCCACGCGTAAGAGAGCTCCAGCTGGAAGGTCGGAAGGAAGCGGCGATGAAAGTGAAACTCTGACCGAAGAAGCCTCGTCCGGACTTCTCACGAACAGCGCGTTCAAGACAGAAAGCTCCTTCTCGCCGCATGCGTTTCTCAACTTAGTCATCTCCTGTTTCAGAGAGGACGCGACGTCCTTGGCGATCGGGTCTTGGTCCGTCAATGTTGACCTGAGGGCAAAGGTGCCGCCACGGGGCAAGAAGCGAGGAGCGACATGGAGAGGACCCTTCCCGCACACTGTCTTGAAGCATGCCCTTGAGAGGAAGGAGGACGAAGGGAGAGGGGCGGGGGAGTGGAAGGCAGAAGAGGAGGGGAGCAGCAGCAGCGCAAGCACCGTCAGGCTCGTGTACGACGGCATTGGCAGCATGCAAGCGGGGCCCGGAGCCTTTATATGCACTGCAGGGGTAGGGGTGTAATCCCTACCCCTCCTTGGATGCGATACTGTATGTGAGGGGGTACTTTTTGGACAAGAAAAGGAGGGGTGAATGAGGCCCCCCAGCATACTCAAGTGCAAAGGGTGGGGTGGGGTGCAACAACATGAGGTGCATCACTTGCTTTGCTGGCTACCCCCCTTGTGCCTGTGTTTGTAGTACATTTTCTAGGGTAGGTTCATGTACCCCACCCTAGGAAAAATAAATGGGGAAAAGAGGGTTACTGTCTGATAAAACCACTGCTGTGGGGTGTAGCAGGGAGATGAGTGGGTACATGGAGGTGTTTAATGGGGGTGGGGTGGTAGCCAGGGTGTTCCAGTCCGATCCGGCGTTGGGCCCGGCCGGCCAGAGCCGCTAGTAGCCCAGCAGCAGCAATGCTGAGGGAGGAGGGAGAGAGAAGAAACCAGGAGGAGCCGGGAGGAAGGAAGGAGGGAGTAGTCAGGGATTGAAGTTGGTGAAGCCTGGGACTGGGAGGAGACGGTTGGATGGTCTGAGAAGAGCCTCGGAGAGAGGAGGGAGAGAACTTCGGGTATCACAGTGGAACAATTCCTCGGAGTCAACTCGGAGATATCAGAAGAGAGCAGTTAGAATTTCGTTTACAGAGAGAGGAAGCAGGTGAATTCAGAAGATAAAGATAAGAGTAAGGAATAGCAGAATTGGGACAATGAGCTTTGCAGCAACCGTGAGTTTACTGTTAGAAAATGAAGACTAACTACTAGGGGGCAAGAGAAAAGGCGATGAGTTTGTTGAAACATGATTTGTGATGCTGAAAGCTTGATATCAAAGGGAGGCAAGTGACGAAAAGAAAGTTGATTGCCAGGAATATGAAACATTGATAAGTCCGAGATAGAGCATGAAGGGATAACTAAGTCTTTTAGTGCACAGGACCAATTACCAACATAAATTCTCCTTGACGATTTGAAGGTCAAGAGGCCAAGTCGTTTCAACCCGATTCATCACACAAGAGAAATTCACGGGTGATACATGGCAGATGAGATTTATGCCTGGCCCTGTGAAAACTCGACACGCGGTGTGATCTGAAGATGGTTTGGCACGGTGTCTATTCCTGCGGGCACGGAGCAGGAGGGAGGCTGGGGCTGAATGACGAGCGAGCTAGGACAGCCTTCACAGGACCTCTAGGCACGCTCCAAGATGTTGAGGTGAAGAGCCTCGCGTGCGGCGGGAAGCACAACCTGCTGCTGAGCAGAGCAGGCAAGGTGTACTCTTGGGGATACAACGACAGCAGGCAGACAGGACACGGAGTCGAAGACCTGTCGGATTGGGAGCCAAGATGGATCAGAGCTCTTGAGACAGTCAAGGTTGTGCAGGTGACATGATGACGATGTTATTGAGATTGAAGGTGTTGCTCTCTTTGCTGATGCTTGTGATGGTCAGATTGCAGCTGGAGAAGATCATTCCGTCGCCCTCACCGATCGGAGCGAAGTATTCACGTAAGATGCGGTGTCATGCTCTACAAGATGGCATGTCTCCCTCTCACTCGAACTGCCGTGTCTTGCTGTCTCTCGTCTGACAAGCTGTGATCTTGCTCCCGTCTGACAAGCTTTCGTCTTCAGCTGGGGAAGGGGTCTACATGGTCAGCTCGGGCACGGGGACGTGAGTGACGTTTGGTTCCCTTTCCTTGTCAAGGGGCTGCAGGTGGAGGACAGCTCGCTGCTGCTGCTTGCTGAGCCTCTGGTTTCAGGGCAAGGGGATCAAGAGCATCGGCTGTGGGTATGAAAACACTTTCGCCATCACTGGGACTGGCAAGGTGCTGGGGTTTGGATCAGCAGCATCTGGAAAGTTGGGCAACGGAGATGTAGATGGAGGGATCGGGGGAAACGTCTATCTCCCAGTTCAGCTCAAGTCACTTGCGAAGTTTACCATCATTCAAGCTACAGGAGGAAAAAACTTTTCAATGTTCCTCAGTCATACCGGACAGCTTTACAGCGTCGGCTATGCAGCCAACGGTCAACTTGGGATCCCCTTCGAAGAAGTGGAGAGCCTGAACCTGCCGTACACGGGGACGATGCAGGAGGTGTCGCACAAGGGCGTCTTCGTCAAGTATGTGTCGTGTGGCGACAGCCACTCGCTCGCCCTCTCTGAGGACGGGATCGTGTACTCGTGGGGGAGCGGTATCAACTGGGCGCTGGGGCACGGAGGAACAGAGGACACGTTCACCCCGAAGATGGTGGCGATGCTGGAAGCAGATCCCTGCGTTTCAGTTTCAGCTGGAGGATACCATTCAGCAGCGGTGTCTGCAACGGGGAGGATCTACACGTGGGGGCGGAACTTTGTCGGGCAACTTGGAACAGGTCAGAACATTGACGACCATTCGGCTGACCACGTTCAAAGGCTGCCGACGAGAGTCATTCTCAAGGGAAGTGTGGATTCTTCGGAGATGGCAATGCGAGTAGGGTGCGGTCAATGCCATACGATCTTGCAGGTCTGTGTTGTCGAAACTTGTCGGTGAGGTGTGAGGTGACGTGTTGGGGTGACAGACTGCACTGAAGGGAGACGAGCCGGAGCAGAAGAAGGAAGCAGCGAAACAAGCTGAGCCCATGAAGGTGGAGGAGAAGCACAAGAAGGAGGAAGAAATCGCCCCACCTGTGGTGGCCCCAACGGAAGAGAAGGAGCCAGAGAAGGTGCAGGTGAAGAAACAATTCCTCGACCTCGAAGTCGAAGTTGTCAGCGGCCACCGGCTGCTCGCGTCTGACAAGCGAGGGACGTCTGATCCCTACTGCAAGGTCGGAACCGTCGGAGAGAAGCGACTGGGTCATGACCTGATTCCGCAGATTTCGATCAAGGAAGGTCGAGTCAAGCAGAAGTTCAAGACCAAGGCAATCAGCAAGACGCTGAATCCGCACTGGAACGAGAAGTTTCTCTTCAAGGTGTGGAGTGACGGGATGATTTCAGTCTGTTTGCCCACGTGATGGTGGCAGGGCTGCTGCAATCGTATCGCTATCGAAGGGGATCCGCGCATGGGCGAGGAGGGCAGGATGAAGAACCTCAACTGGGACCTCAAGCTCAAATTGTCCTGCCTTGACCAGGTCAGTGCAGGAGAAAAGCTTGCTTTCATTCTTATTGACAGCCGTTGATGAAGGACTCGATGGGGGAGGACGAGAGCCTGGGAGTACTCTTTGTTCCCCTTGCGGGGTTGAGAATCAACAAGAAGAGAGACATCAAGGCACGGAAAAAGCTATGGCAGGCAGCGACTCTGACTAGGTGCCGCAGGTGCCGCTGGCTCCTAAGCTGGAGGGTCAGGTAGTGAGTGGAGAGATAAGGCTTCGACTGCTGTTGAAAGATGAATGAAGTTGAGAGCGGGGGATAGAGTCACTTCAACGCCCTCAGTCCTTCTTGCTCAACTGATACAAGTCGCCGGCGACATCCACCAGCCCTGCTCCTGCATGTCAAACGAGGAAGAAACGAAGAAGCTCCACCTGCTCCTGTGTAGGAAGAAACCATGCGCACAGCCTTGACGCACTTGGAGTACCTGTGGCCTGATCAGCTTGAGAAGCAGCGCGGCGGTCTGATCACCGCTCTATCTCTTGCAAGATAAGCGCATGCCTCCTCGCTAAGTCTTCGGGCTTGACGAGATCGCACTTGGTCAAGATGATCTGGAAGGAGACCCGAGCGTCGTCAAGTCGCTGCATGAAGTCCTTGTCGTTCTGTTTGACTCCATGCCTTCCGTCGATGATGAGGAAGACTCGCTTCATCTTCCTGGTCTGGATGTACTGGTCTATCAGCACTTTCCAGCCCGCCATCTTCTGCTCATTCGCAAACGCGAACCCGTAGCCGGGCATGTCCACCATCATCAAACGGCGAGGAAGCACATAGAAGTTGAACTGGAGCAAACAAGATGAGACCAGACAGGAAGCAAGCATGGCATCAGCTCAACCTGCTGTGTCATTCCTGGCTTGTCTGAGGACCTTGCTGTCGTTGACAAGGTCAGTGCGTTGATGATCGACGACTTGCCCACGTTGCTCCTCCCACAGAAGGCAACCTCAGGCAGCGTCATGGGCGGCATGGATGACATGACCGTCGCTCCCGCCACGAAGGTGAGCTTGTCCTTCTTGCCCTGACCGATCAGCTCGACCAGTTGAGGAGACAGGTCAGTATAGAGAGGAGGGCGAGAAAACCCCTTGAATCTCTTCTCCTGCTCAACCTGATCTTTGTTTCCCCTGTGCGCTTTTCGGACCGCAGATCCCATAGGCAGGCAGATACCTCCTTGCACGATCTTGCGCAGGACATTCTGATCAATGTTGATCTGTCGAAACTTGGCGCGATTGCTCAGCTCTTGGCTTCCTTCGACTTCACCTTCAGCTCCTCCCTTTTGCCCTGATCTCATTGGTGTTTTACTTCTTTCTGTTCCTGTCGCAAGATGCCTTGTCGCGATCATGCCGGAGCCTCTGCTGGCGTCGAAGGTAGAGATCATGGAGAATCCGAGAGGTACTGATGTCCTTCTCCCCCTGCACCACGGCAGGGCAAGGATCTTGGAAAGCTGCGCAGCGTCTCTTGTGTTGGTCGGACAAGAAGGTGAAGAGGCGGAGGACGAAGATGAGGAGGAGGAGGAGGAGGAGGAGGAGGAGGAGGAGAGAGCTCTTCTGCTGAAAGCGCATGGCAGGAGGGGCTGGTACGCTCGCGCAAGCATGAGGCTGTTCACCAGCATGCCGAAGAGCCGCATCGACCCGGCCGCCATGGAGGGAAAGTGCGATTTTAACCGGTTCAGATCTGCAGTAAATGGGGGCCGTCGCGCCGTCCCGGGCCGCCGGGGCCGCGGCCCAGCCCGAACGGAGTTTCAAGATCCGAGTGTCAGTGTGCTAGTCTCGCCGCCACTCAACACTGACGGTGTGTGCATGCTGCAGCGCTGATGCAGCTGAGCAGTCCCGGGAGTCCGGCCGCCCAGGGCCGGGCCGCGCGACCGTGACTACGTACCGGGCCCGGCGCGCTGCCCTGAGTCAGATTTCGGCGCGGCTCAGCGCCTGAACGTTAATGGCCCCGGCCGATGATCAGAACAGTTTATCGCACATGAACTTGAACACTGAAACTACTGTACACCATCGGAAGTATCGGACGACAACGACTGAGATATCAGAGCGCGAACGTCTGTCGGAATTCAAACCCAAACTTGCCAACTTCATCTCTGACGGCACAGTCAACACACTCAGAGCCGTACACGCTCTGCAGCACGACGTAGACGAACTCAGACAGCATGTTCAAGTAGTTGGCCTCGCTCGCATGACTCTCGCTCATGCACGCTCTTCCGTACCCCTCGCAGTGGCACCAACCGGAACCACATCGATTGTGAATGAAGCTTGAGATGGTGTTGACGCCGAAGTTGACCTCCTCCTCCTCCTCTCCTTCCCGTCGCATCTCTTCACAGAAGTCTCTCAACCCTCGAGACAGCCTCATCCCACTCTCAAGCAAACTTTTGCACGTGTGGTTGAACTTTCTCCCTGTGTTGCGCAGCCAGCAAACTCTCCTGCCGCAAGCGGTGTCTTCACGCAGCCTCGCCAGCTCTTCCTTGCTCCTCCTCGCAGGATGTTGATGGTACATCCTCGTCAGCCCCGCTGCTGTCAGCCTGGGTCGGTCGAAGAACACGTGCTTTCCCTCTCTCCCCTCCCTGTCCCAACTCATCTGCAAGACTCCGTCGAGAGCAGCGACGGGCATGTTCATGCGCGCGGGCGCAGCGTTGCTGTCAGCCTGGAAGAGGAGGAGGTAGAGGAACGAGAACCCTCCCGTATCGAGCTCGAAGGTCTGGCTGGACGGATCGAACCTGTTGAGAGCAGGAACGTCGAATGTGGGGTCGATGAAAGGAGGTGACTTGTCGGTCTACAAGGATCATCACATACATCAGACAACACTGAGTGAAAATCTCTGTGATGATCAAAAGGAGAGGGATGAGAAGGAGGAAGGAGGAGGGAAAGGAGGATGAAGAGGACAAGGAAACAGTGACGGCAGCGGAGGCAGCGGCGGAGAGGAGGGGAAGGGTTTTGAGTTGAAGGTTGAAGGAGCAGCAGCAGCGCTAGCAAGCTGTTCACCTCAGAATGGCGGAAGAAAGCGTCGATGGTATCAAATGCTGAAGTATTATCAGCCTCGTGCTCGTGGGGCTTCATGGGACTAGTCGCTCCTGGGAGGAAACTAAGCAGAGAAGGAGCAGGCATGCTAGAGAGGTTGAAGAGCATGATATCTGAATCCATATGCCAGTAGCAACGAAACTCTCGCTCCCTTCGCATCCTTTCCTCGTCCTCGTCCTCCTTCACTTTGTTCTTGCCAATTTCTTCATCCTTCTCAATCGGAGGCTTGCTGTTCTCTTCATGACATTTCTTCCAACGCCTCCCGACTATGGCACAGTCATCTCGCATGAGATCAGCGACCTGCGAAGTCGGCATGAGCAAAGCATGCGGACGAGGAGGGAGGGAGGGAGAAAGGGAGGGAGGGAGGGAGAAAGGGAGGGAGGGAGAAAGGGAGGGAGGGAGGGAGGGAGGGAGGGAGGGAGGGAGGGAGGGAGGGAGGAGCAAGAGGAACCGAGAAGTGACGCCATGGGAATACATCCGAGTGCAGCAGGAGAACAACATCCTTGCGATGGTGACGCAGAACTCGCCTGTGGAGGGGGAAGGAAGGGGGGGGGGAGGGAGGGAAGGAACATCAGAGGTTGCATCCTCCCTCCCTCCCTCCCAACCTGCTCCAGATCCAGTCCATGGCCACAGCATGGCACAAGGAGGAGCTGAGCCAGTGGTAGCCCGAGCTAGTCCGAAGCGCGCGATCGCAAGGGAGAGAGAGAAAGTCCAGCTCGACCCCGAGGGATTGGCAGACAGCCCGTAGACGAGGAACCCTGAGAAGGAGGTGAGAAGGGAGGAGGAGGGGAAGGAGAAGGGAGAGGGGAGAGGAGAGGAGAGAAGAAGAGAGAAAAGATCATTCATCAAGATTCAATCTGTTCACCCGCGCAGAAACTCTTGATGCAAGGGGTCCATGTTCAACACGGCGACAAACTTTACATGCTCTTTGCAAAACTTTCTCCATAGTTTGACCTGTTCAAGACAACCTCAACGGACACATTTGGTATACTGTGTGATCGAACTCAACTCACTTGGAAGATTAGATCTGTGGGGTCTACCGTGACGAAGGTGTAGGCTATGATAGCTTGTTCATGATCAACATTGCCAGGAGTCATGACGACTTCGCAAGTTCCGCTCTCATTGCCCTCTGACATGTTGACCGATAAAAACCTCGTTTCTTCAACTCCCCTACAAGACAAGGGGACATCTCCTTCCTTGTCATCCCAGGGATCATCAAAGTTTGAATTCAGGGCATGCAGCTCATTCAAATGTTCACTTGAGAAGGAATTTCTCGTTAACACCTTGGAATTGTTCCCAAAGGAATGTAAAGGATCGCTCAGGTACTGATGGCATGCAGTTGCTGCAATCTCGTCTCTGAAAATGACACCAGCCTTCAATCCAGCATGCAGCCCCAGCATTTCTACACCGTCAACATTCAGCACCACCAGCACGATTGAAACTTCGTTTCTTTTTCCTTCGAACACTTCCCCTCCTTCCTGCAAGACCTCTCGAAGGTTCGCAATCTCAACCCTGCTCGAGTTTAGCCTCGAGTGCAGATGGTTGTTTACATACATGTTCACACCCGCAAACTGATCGCCCTCAAAGTTTGCATAGCAATCAGGAACTCCAGAATTGCACAAGACAAGCCCGAAGTTTACAATTAAGGGACAGTTTGGAGTCACAACGACAGGATCCTGAGAAGAAGGATGGAAAATCTTCATCATGGGGGTATCGAGGTTCAGCTCTACTTCGTCTATGCAGACCCTGGACCGATGCGTCTCATCCTCACTTGCGGTGTAGAGGATGATGGAGATGGAGACTTGCGCCCTCCACAGCCCATCCACTCGGAAGACTGTAGTCGCTTCCTTGGCCCTGCCTTCTGCTACATGGTCCGCAACTTGAACTCGCATAGTGTATTCCCTCGACATTGCTCCTTCCACCTGAACAGCAACATTGAAAGGGGTCGCAATGGCCAGCAGCCTAGAATCTCTTGGAGAGAGGATGCGGCAACGAGGAGCATCGGCTGCTGGTACGTGCGTGACCTTCTGCCTCCATCGGGCTAACTCCCGTGCCCCTACATCGCCCCCATCTCTTTCAGACGTTCTCTCCCGTTCTTCGACGTGGCTGCCGACAGCAGCCGTCTCGGCATTGGCATAGCGTACTCCCAAAACCACGAGAGTCGACACAGTGATCATTAACCACCACATCATCGGTCTTGACCTGCGTCGAGGCCGACATTTTCTTCGACCCCAAACCGTGTCCATCAGCTTTCATGGCACCTTGTGAATGATCTGTAATCGGGGAAAGCTTGATATCATACAGTATGAATTGCCTGCTTCCCTCAGTCTCATGATCCTGTTAATCATACCCAACAAACCAACAACAGTCGGTCAATAGCGATACCTACAAGTTACCATCCCGCCGAAGTGACAAGTCACATACCATGTGTCTTTTGCCTCTTCATCATACTTATTTCCTCACACGATCTAAACATCTTTCAACCGCCTAAACATGTTTCAACCCTTACCCATCATACACATGCTCTCGCATCTTCACTTCTTTTTTTTAAAACAAAAAAATCATCATTTTACAATCAAGTTTCAGCTCGCCTCAGAACTACAAAGGCAGCAAAAGATTCATAGCCTTTCAGATCGCTGTCCTTGTTGATCGTAAGGTGACTTTACCACACACTCTCTGGTTTATCGCCCCCCATTTCAAAACCTTAAAACAGCAGTAGTAAAAAGTAGTAAAGCAACCAAAAGTTCCGTTCCCCCCACCCCCACCCCCGGCACCTCTCCCTGTCCATACACCGGTCCGAGTTTAACTTTGAACTGTACCCCCACCCCAGGATTGAACCTAATAATATCACCATTAGATGATTGATCAGTACCGGTGGTCAATAGGTAAGTTTCCCTGTACCCCTCCCGTCTTTGTTAAAATCGGAGAACGGTTCCGTGTTGTGGAGAGGTTTTGTAGTCAATATACATTTTTATAGTCAAGACGATAAAAAAAAAACATGCTCATAGTCAAACTCTTCTGAGATCTGTAGGGTCGTAGTCAATTGAGGTACGAATCTTGATACAAGCAACTTTTAAAAGTCATTTTATCAACTTAAAATGATGTTTTAAAACGTAGCCTTTCAGGGAGCGTACAGTAGTTGAGGGGGTGGGGGTGCATACAGTGGGTAGTTCGGACTCATCGTGGGGGTCAAATGACTTGGAGGGTTAACTTTCCCATGGTCTTGATATGGGTGGGTGTACCAACTGTGGGCAGCGGAAGGGAGCCGTCATTTACAGGGGGTGGTGGTACGTTGAGGGTAAAACACAGGGGTATATCCCCCAGACACTGATAGTGAAAAATGGGGTAGGTATCCAGGTGTGAGTACAAAACATGCATTTGGTAGGCGGTAGGGTTATGACTAGGGTACCTGGATCAGGGAGAAGAGGGGTAGGGGTTATTCCTGTACGACTTCTTCCTGGCCTCCAACTGACCTTCAAGGTGATCTGATGAGGGGTACAAAGTCATATCAAGACAGGGGGTGGGGGTTATAGCGGGGGGACTGAAACACACAACGATCCAGGATTTGCCGTTTCTTCCACTACAAGGTTCCATAGTCAATATATAAGCACCCACCCCTGTCAAGATCATCGGATCCTATACAGAAGTACCCGTCCAGCAGGAATGAAACTGTTAGGACCAACCCTCGTATTCAACAAGCATGCTGATACATTTGTACGGGTCCTTCTACTGGTCTCATCTCATACCCCCACCTGTTCAGCAACTTTTACATACAGAAGTACCGGTGGTGAGATATTGACAATAACCACAGCAACTGCATTTGACCACCAATCGATGACCCCCCACCCTCCCCCTCTCCTTTATCCTCCCATCCTCGGAATTATTGACCCTACTTGAGAACCACACCCGTCACTTCCTACGCCCACCCCCTCTCTTCTACATCTTCTGCTCACCCACCCCTTCACTTTACACCCGTTCGTCACCCCACCCTATCCAAACTCCATCCACGCCTTTCATTTTACCCCTAGGGTCCTCCACCCCCTCATTAGCAATTGCGCCTAGACTAGACCGGTGTCATCCCAATTAACACGCCTTTTTGAGTTTTGTACCCCTACCCCTCGTTATCGATCGTTGCCTTCATACGTAGCCATATTTGTACCCGCACCTCCTTCCGAAGGCTGAAAGTACCCACCTCTGGCATATGCTGTCTTTGGAATTCGATTGCTCACCCCCTCGTCCATACCTCCTACCCCTTCAATATTTTCAAAACACAGCTCGTTTCACATCACACCCCTTCTCGGCATAGGGAATGACCCCCTACTTTTAACACGCCTGAGGAGGCAAACGGGACCACCCCCGTTTGCAGGATCTGGCTTGGTATGCAACTTCCTCTACCCACCCTATTTCGAATACACCCCTTCCTGATAACCCCTACCCCCAAGATAGGACCCCCCTGTACATCTATCCCCCCCGCCTTTTCTTCCCTCGCTACCGCCCCTCCGCTCCCTCCCTCTCCTAATTTCCCTCTCTCCGCTCCTCCTCCCCACCCTCCCTCCGTTCATCCCTCCGCCTCTCCCTCCCCCACACTACTGATTACTCACCCATCTTGTTTCCCTTCCGTCTCTGTCCATTCAACCAGCTAGTTGAGTTCAAGACTCGGCAGGATCAGATCAAACTTCAGCACTTGGCTTGTATACAACTGTAAAATTGGGGATCAAACTGCAAACTTTCGAAGGCAACGAATTTCAGCAATAGATCAATACGAACAGTCTTGCTTACACTGTAGATTCTCGGAAAATTTTTTCAGGCTTCAATTCTGTTCATCACTCGCTCTGCCAACTCTCGATCGGGTTGCATCAAAGTCTTCTGCGAAAATTCTTTTCTCTCTTGAATGTGTTGAACTCACTGAGGACAAAAGGTAAGAGTCACACTGCAATTTTCCAAGATTCTCTAACGATTCGGACAGGTCTGCTTACTCATTGCTGTTCCAACAAGATAGAAACCATGCATACCCCTCAACGTCTCACCATCGGTAAGTCTCGATCTCCGTGTGCTACTCAATCGCCTGACCTTGTCTCGGCAGCCGTCGAAAACTCGCCGCACATCAGCTTTCAGATGTCCAACATGCGGCTTGCTCAGAATTCTCCTGACTCGCTGGCCTCGCAAGCTACCACAGGTATCAGACTCTTGTTCCTGCCTATCGTATCAGTCTGCTGACCTGAGACTCCAGCCGATCTCTCTCCACATGGAGACATGGACTGCGACATCTCTCCTAACTGCGTTGGTTCCATCTCCCTCCAACTCGACGACATCCACAATCAGACCTGCGACGCGACGGATTACTTCGACCAAAGGAGGGACAGCCTCTGCAGCGACGGGCATGCAGAAAACGCCAGGGCCCCACAACGAGGGGTGACGCGGATTCTCTCGGAGGAGGAAGCATCTTGCGAATCACCAGAGCGCAAGAAGATCAAAGGAAACAAGAGACCTCTCGCCGGCAACTCCTTCCGCAATCAGCGATCCCTGTCCAACTTTGAGCCGCGAAGCAAGCGAGCGCATTCGCCAGTCCGCCGCTGCCTGTCGCAGAACGACATTGGAGAGCCATCGACACCCAAGAGAAGGCTGGATGTTTTTACTGACAACGACGTCGAGTGCAACATTAGCGTTGACCTGGTGGCGGGAATAGCGAGGGGCGAAGACAAGTATCGCAAGATGTATGACAAGGTGATCATTGTCGATTGCCGTTATCGGTACGAGTATGAGGGAGGGCACATCCATGTGGAGCCGGACCTGGATGGATGGCTAGAGGTGATCCATTTTACTCCCTGCCAGCACAAAGCAGCGATCAACTACTTGTTTCCAAGCGATTCGGAGCATGTTGTCTGGAACGATCGTGTTTGCCTGATCTTTCACTGCGAGTACTCTCAGAAGCGAGGACCAGCCATGCTTAAGAGCATTATTGAGCATGATCGCAAGATGATGGGCGAAGAGCGATACCCTCTGGTACATTACCCTGAAACTTACGTCATGGGCAAGGGCTACAAGGAGTTCTTCCTCAAGTACAAGGAACTGTGCAACCCTCAGACTTATATCCCTGAGAATGATCCTCGTTTCACCGACATGTGCAAACAGGCGACCCGACAAAGAAAGATGTCTAAGAAGGGTATGGTGGACCGAGACAGGTTCGAGAGGATCTCCCCTTCTCCTTCCTCCCCGGCAAATGTCACAAGGAGCCTGGGGCTGCACTTTGAGACGGTTCATCCGTGCAGCGCGGATGATTAGAACATTGTTTATTTGTAAATTTGAATGCAATCATATCTGTCCCAGCAGCCCCTCTCATTCCCGTCTCAAGATGGTATCCACCGTCTCTATCAAGCTCTGCAGCTCCTGCCTGCTGCGATCAGGTGTCCCTTGACTCTCGCGCCCTCCCCTGGCGGATTCCGGGCTGACATCCCATGGCCTGCTGGGACTCGTCAGCTGGATGGCTCGCCAGCTTCCTGCCCCTCACCTCGAGCCCTCCAGCTTCAACGCTTCCGATGTATCCGCAGCTTCCTGCCAGACAACAAGGTGAGGAAGCGAGGAGAGCGTATGACATACCAAGCTTGCGATGCTGTCGTTGTCCAGCTCATGTATCTTCTTGCGAAGTGACTTGCGCATTTCATCCCAGTACTTGGCATGTTTCTCGTGGACTGCCAGGGTGTCGTAGAGGCTGGCGAGCTTGTGGGAAGTCACAGGAAGTGACGAGTCGTGGGAGAGGAGTGAAGTATTGGAGTAGAGAGTCTCCAGCCCTGAGACAAGTCAAGCAGGCAGCGAGCAGAGGTGAGTGAAATCACCTTCTTTGTCCTTTTGTTGTTTCAGCACTTCAATGGCTAGCTTCTCCGCCTTGAGTCGTGCGTCGGTCTCGAGCTGGAGACTCATTTCTAAGCTTGAAGCTCTTCCTGATGTCTCGTCGAGATCGGCTTGTAAGGACTTGACCCTGGACCTCAGCTCCTCTTCCGTCTCTTCTTTGCTCATCAGCTCAATCTCCAACTTAGAAGTCTCTTGTCTCATCGAGCGGCATTCCATCTGCAGCTGCTCGTGCTTCTCTTGCAGCAGAGTCAAGCTCATCTCCTTGTCGTGTAACATCTTCGACACCCTTGCAAGATCCTCTCCGGTCTCAGACGTTCGTTCCTCCAATCGCGCTATAACTTCCTCCTTCCTCTTCACTTCCTTCACATGCCACTCTAGCTTTTCTGCCATGTCGCTGGTTTTGTTGAGAGAGGATGTCAACACCGCCACCTCAGTTTCTTTAGCCCGCAATTCTCTCATCAAGCTACCGATCGTTTCGTTGAGATCTGCTAACTCTTCCTCGTATCCTTGCCGCATCCTTTCCATGTTGTGAATGTACTCCATCTTGGTTTGTCGAGCTTCTTCTTCGTGTTTGCTTCTCAGATCTTGAATCTCCTTCAGGTGGGATTCTCTACACTCTTGTAAGACTTTGGCTGTATGTTTGGTTGTTTGCAGGGATATCAAATCTTTCAAGCAACGTCAGGAAAAATCAAAGACATCCATTCTCACTCTTTTCTCTCGAGAATTCCTCTTCAAACTCCTGGTTGACTCTCTTCAAGGCTTGATTCTCTGTCTGCAATCTTTCCACTTCGTTCTCCAAGTTCACTTGCAGTGAGTTAGCTCGGGCCTCGTTGATGCTCATGTTCTCCATCTGGACCCTGTTGATCCCATCAGCATGCATGTCAGCCTTGCAGTCGCCTGACCTATGCAGCACTCGAACGGCATTCTCCAACTCTTCGTAATTGCTGGTGATGCTTTTGATCTGCTCCTTCAAATCTGAGTTCTCCTGCATTATCTCTGCCACTCTCTCCCCTCGCTCATCTGACTTTGCCTCTCTCTGCTCCTGTGAAACCTTCAGTCCCATGCATGAATCACCCCCAGCAGTGTCCCAGCAGTCATGGTTACCTCTAGCTTCAGCTCAAACCGCTGCACGGTGAGTCGCAAACGCGAGAGCTCGGTGGCATCCTCGCTCTGCTTGGCTTTGCACTCCTCGAGCTCCTGCCTCTGACTCAAGAGAGACTCTTCACTGCAAGCACGCAAGACCTGCGAGGCCTTGAACTTCTCTACTTGAGCCTCTTTCACGTTCTCCCTCAGCTGCTCAATCGTGTTCATGCGATCCTCGGCGTCTCGTCTCATAGCAGCAATGAGCACAGCCTTGTCCTCCACGTTGTTTCGAAGCATCGCTTCTGTCTTCACCATACTATCAATGGTGTTCCTGTGCTCTGCAAGCAATCCGCGATGAGCACCAAATAGGTAAGTAAAGTGCAACTCACCGTTTCGTGCTTGTTGGAGGAGGGTTTCAAGTTTCGCACATTTCACGTTATTCTTAGAGAGCTGCGGAGTAAGGTGGTTACGATCAGGTTTGTTTCAACACCTTTCGCCACCTTGGTTTGCATGTCCGAGAGTTTCCCTTTCAGACGAAAAATCTCAGACTCGAGGTGATCATTCTTTTCTCCGCTCCTCCCTTCAACCTTTCTTGCAGTTGCAGTGCTAATGCAGAGGTCATCAACGTGCTGGAAGTCGAAAACTTGTGAGTTGGCAGGTACCGGTTGGTACTTGCGGAGGGTTTGATCTGATCTACTGATCTACGAAGAGACTCGAGCTGGGCTTGTAATGCTTTCTTCTCCGCCTCGTGCTCTCTGTAGATTCTCCGCAAGTCCTTGTCGATGGATTCCTGGAATGACGACGGTCAAAGCGAGGAGCCGAGACGAGGCTGATGACCTTGTACTGCTGCAGCTTGTCGGACGAACTCTTGCTCTCTCTCCTCTGATCCTCCAGCTGCGAGGAGAGCGAGAGGACCTGGTCCATCAGCAACGTGTTCTGAACCTCTTTCTGGGCCAGCTGGATGGTGTGGTAGTGCGAGGGCTGGTCGTCGGAGTTCGCTGGCCTCTCCGGGCTCTCGCACAGATTCTCCTCGGAGATCATCTTGCTGAAGCGCCAGGAGAGTGAGGGGGGCAGGGGAGACAGCAAGTCAGACCGTGAGGCGGCGGATGGAGGATGGCTTGCGTGCCATGCTCTTCCTACAGGTCGGTTGGAGGAGAGATCGGGAAGAGCATCGACGGAAGGAGATCCGAAGGAGATATGGAAGTTCTTGCTCGGCTTGTCATGACGGGGTTGAGGTGAACCTGACATGCTTGCTTCTGCGTGCTCAGCGATGACACTCACTCACAGCTTGGCCCTTCCATCCTCCGCCTACCTCCTTCTCGCATCCCCCTGCTGAAAGGATTAAAGTTCTCATCGCCTGCACATCAGCATATGAGTCTCCTTCCCTGTTCCTCTCCTTCCCGTCTATCCCCCTCATCGCTCTCTCTCATGCTCGGACTCGCTCGCCCAATCCCTTCCTCCAATCCATCCCGATCCAGCTCTGTCCTGCTGTCTCCTTCTATCGCTTCCTTCTTTCTCATCTCCCCTCCCTCGCTCACTCTCTCCTTCCATCCTTCCATCTTTCCCTCGCTCCCCTCGCTCCCTCGCTCCGTCCCGTCCGTCCCTCGCTCCCGTCCGTCCGTCCGTCCGTCCCTCCCT